AGTTTTAATTGACAGTCATGAAAGGTCCTTTTGGAGGGGACCATTTTCATTCTCCAAACGTATTCCGGCTGGCATCTCATTTTTTTCTTGTTGAAGTTTCTTTTCCTCTTTCAAGATGTCTTCTTGAATTTTTAAAAAAATTCCTCTGTGTTCTAATAAATAATGCTCACCTGTATTCTCTTCTGTGTCCCTGGAATAATATTCTGTTTTTTCAATTTGTGTTTTTCTACAGAGGCTTTAAGGTCTGTACCAAACAGAAAAATGGACAGCAATTTCTCTTAATAAAGAGTATTTTTTCAGCCAACTAGAATATCTTCTCCCTACCTCCCCTGTTTCAGTATTTACCTGTCAGAGAACAATTGGAAAGACACGAATTTGAGCACATGACATTCTGAAGATTATGGTAGAAATGGGAAAAATTTCACAAATAAAATACTATGTAAGACAGCAAAAATTCAAGTATCAATAAATGTTAGTAATTCTGTTTTTAAGTAGACAGTGAGTGCAGGAAGAGGCTTAGTCTAGAAAAATTGCGCAAGTTGAAAATTGGTTCAATCAAGCAAGCGTGTTCTATGTTGCTCACGTATACCAAATCTACAGAGGAGAAGAGGGCTAGTATCAGATTACACAGAGCATGAAGCCAAGGTCAACCCCACATTGGGTGTTGATAAGCATTGAATCTAGAGGGGCCTGTCTTTATTTTTAGATAAGTAAGAAGAAAAACAAATGGACTCAAAATGGAAAATGGTGCAAAATGTAGAAAATGAATGTCACTACTGAAAAGAACTAGTCTGAAAAATCTTTACTAGAAAACAGATAAACTTACTTTAAGGGTAATGATCTGCATTATCAATTAACGGAGGCTGAAGACAACAGAATAAGATAAAAAGAAAGGAGGGTGACATAAAATAGATTACAATTTTTGGTTTCCAGTCATGCATGTAAGGAACTTGAAAGTCATCACTTTGTTCTAGCAAGTAAAAAGCTGAACAAACTGCAAAAAAAGTCAACTTTTCGTAGATCCCTCAGAGAAGCAAGGTCACAGGGCAAACCACTGCCTCCAGAATGGGAGCGTCAGGTGAATGTAGAGTCATAAGGTACTGCAGCAGAAACCCATAAGCAGGAATCTCCATGGACCAGGGCCAAGAGTTAAGAGCTCCCATACGGCAAATGATGAATTTCTGTAGGCTGAGTGTGGACAAGTTTGAGTTAAAAACTTCAAGGGACCCAATCATAGGGGTGTCGTCACACTCTTGTGAGTTTTACTTCTGCAAGCTTGATCAGATTCTTGCAATGAATCTGTATTTATTCTTGCAATAAATCCCCTCATACCACAGGCAGAGGGAAGGAGAAAGTGTCCAATTTGAAAGACTTCAGATCACTCTGTTTTTCAGAAGACCTGTCCTTAAGAGAAACTATTTTACCAAAGCCTAATCTGCTAGGGTGTTTTCAGAGCCTAACTGACCTGAGGGAAGGGAAGTACCCAACTCAAGCCCACTCTAGTCATCCTGTTCCACCTAAGGTGAGGTAAATAAATTGAAGCCCTGGTGAAGTTCACAGTCCAGGGGTACAGGCTCACCAATACACTGAAACTTAGTCATAGGACTATAGAATAACCAAATTCTCCCCAAAACTTATCACACATTGCTAAAGACCTATTTAACACAGTTCTTTATACACAGTGCATTATGCCAGCTTTAAAAATATTAAAAGGCACAGAAAAAGGAGGAAAAGCCCAGTGTGAAGAGACAGAGAAATAATCAGAAACAAATATGGAAGGAATGTTGAAATTATCATATCAGGAATTTAAAGCAACTATGATTTACATGCTAAGAACTGTAGAGGATAAATAGGCAACATGCATGAACAGATGGGCAATATGAGAAGAGAGATAAAAATTCTAATGAAGAACCAAAAAGAAGTGCTAGAGATGAAAAAACATTACAGAAATGAAGCATGCCTTTGATGGGCTCACATTTCTGAATATAGTTAAGGAAAAGATCTCTGAGGATATATCGATTGGAACTGACAAACTGAAAAGCAAAGAGAAAAAAAGACAAAAACTGTGAGAGAACTAGAAAAGGTGTAACTTATGCATAATGGGAATACCAGAAGAAAAAGAAAGAGAGAAAGAAACAGAAGAAATATTTAAAACAACAGTGACTGAAAATCTTCCCCAAAGACGAAACCAAATCACAGATTCTCGAAGCTCAGAATACACCTGTTATTTTTGTAGGAAATACAGCAAAAAGAAAAAAGAACAGAAAATTCTAGGTGACAGCACATGGGCAAAGAAAGACTCAATAAGTTAGAAGATATATTAATGTTAATAAACACTTCCTAAATGTGAAAGTAAAGAAAAAAAGGAAAAAAAAACCAAAAAACAGAACAGGACATCCAAAAATTGTGAAGGAATTTAAAAAAGTATAATATATGTATAGTATAACCTACATACAGTTGAAACAAGAGAGAAGGAGCAGAGTACATATTTGAAGTAAAAATGGATGACAGCTTTTCAAAACTAATGATAGACAAAAAACATGGGTGAGGTATAGGAGATTTTTAAGGGTAGTGAAACTCTTCTGTGTAATACTATAATGGTGAATAAATGACAATATGCGTTTGTCAAAACCTGAATTGACTTAATGTGTGCAAACTTTTAAAGAATCATTTCATAAGTTGGAGGGTACCAGAATGAAATGCAGAATATGACAAAGCAATCCAACTCTATTATAAATGTATGAAACAAACTTACTGAAGGGGGTAAGCGAAAAGGTGCTAACCTAAGTAATTTTGAAACTAAGTAGTGTGTGAGAGTAAGGGCTAAAGAAACTCTGCATATAGCACTGTACTCTAGTTGATGAAGTGGTTTTCTAGGGAAATACAAATGAAGAGTTCTAATACTTTTATACATATACATTGTAATTGAATGATTAAGTAAATGGATAGAAGAGAGTAGGAGCCAGCCTTCTAGCTATTGGAGTACAACCTTACAAATAACCCAGAGGATGAGGATATTATCATCCCTGTGCTAATGGGTTACAATTGGAGACATCAGTATGAACTCATGATTAGCTAATTACAGGTACAGATGGTTACACATAGAAATATATGTGGGCTGGGGGCCAGGTGCGGTTGCTCATGCCTGTAATCCCACATTTTGGGAGGCCGAGGTGGGAAGATCACAAAGTCAAGAGATCAAGACCACCCTGGCCAACATGGTGAAACCCTGTCTCTACTAAAAATACAAAAATTAGCTGGACGTCGTGGCATGCACCTGTAGTGCCAGCTACTCGGGAGGCTGAGGCAGGAGATAATCGCTTGAACCAGGAGGTGGAGGTTGCAATGAGTCGACATCATGCCACTGCACTCCAGCCTAGCGACAGATACATGGGTTGGGTTGGTATACACACATATTTCTCTTACTTTTTCAGCTAAGAGGACTTCAAAGCAATATGCTTACCAGTAGAAGTAAGCATACCACCTAGTATCCAGATCTTATTTTTTAATAGCAATTTCCAGTAAAACAGGAACCAGAGTTACTTGATGAAATGACTATTTACATTATTGATTCATTGACATTGGTTATTCATAGGACTGGGCAGAATGTATGAAAGGTAAGCATGGAGCATTTTGTAGGGCCAGAAAGCAAAAACATGCTAAACAAAAGAAAATCCCACAATGATGGGTGTATGTCAATGGACCACAGAAGCCAGCTGAAAGAGCTCCAATGGCCAGAGCTGGAACAACTGAAGCAATGAAATAAAGAGTATTGAATTATAACCCAAAGTATAAGATAAGTATCTATGAGTTGATACTAATATAAATAAATAATTGAAAGAATAAGGAATTGGGGAGATTAAATAAATCTGCCATGCAGAATAAGTCCAAATAATTTATATAAAGCAGTTAGTCTGACCTCAAGGAGGTGGAGCTTAACTCCCCACTCCTACAGCGTGAGCTGCATATAGAGACTTTCTTCTAAATAGTCTAGTATGGAAAGGGGAAAAAGTAGTAACTTTGCAGTGGAAAAACCTCACAAACTTTACATCAGCCAGGTGGTCAAGATTAACATCAACAGTGATAATTCACATTAATAGTATATACACTTTATATGATGTAATGAAAAGAGATGTTTTAGATGTTTTAGCTTTTTAATAGTTTCTGACAAATCACATAGCCTCAGTCAAAGCATGAAAAAAACAATTTAAATCTTGATTGAGAGACATTCTTCAAATGCTTTCTCAAAACTGTCAATGTCATCAAAAACAAGGAGTCTGAACTACTCTAAAGGCCTAAGGAGACATGATAAGTCAATGTAATGTGGCATCCTGTATGGGATATTGGAAAAGAAAGAATAATACTAGGTAAAAATTAAAGAAAGCTGAATGAAGTATGGACTTTCTTTAATAAAAATGTATTAATATTGGTGTATTAATTGTAACAAATCTACCATTCTAACATAAGATGTTATTAGGTGAATGGCGTGTGGAGTACATTGAACTCTCTGTCCTATCTTCACAATGTTTCTGTAAATTCTAATCTATTATAAAATAAAAAGTTAATTTAAAAATGAAAATAAATTATAAGAGGATCTCAGTATTCTAAGTTGATTTTTAAAAATAAAAATTTAAATATATTTTATATTAGCCTGTCACTAGTTATATATACATATCATGTTGGTGTTTTAAGGGGACATGAAATCCAACAATAATATTACTTTTATTGAGCACAATACTAGAACTTTGCAAGCATTTTCTTACATATCGAAAAAGCCTGCAATGCAAATGCTCTTATGCTAAAGAAACTGAAGTTATTTTTTTTGTGTTCTAATTTCAAAAATAGTGGGAATATACCCACTTCTGTTTTCCTTTAACATGCACCATTTCCAATTTTGGTTTCTTTTATCCTTTCTTTTCTCCACATAGTAATCATCTGACAGATTACCTTCTGCATCTGAGAAATATGTAGAGCCTTTACAGTTTCTAAAGTCAACAGTAATATAATTCAACTCAATTAAAATTATTGTTCACCAGAAATAAAATGTATTTTCCTTCTTTTAAAAAAGAATCTAATTTTCTTTTTCATATTCTATCCAGTTATATATAGTATATGTATACAAAATAATACACCTTGTCATCAGTGGTTTGCAATAATGCCTTTCTTGTATATGAATCTCGTATGCATAAGTGAATCAGCATATTGTTTTTTCTGTTAACAATGGTCTTTGCATTTATGCACTGATCCTGCACTATTTTAAAAGCTTGGTGATAAGTTTTAATATCTGATTAAGTTATTCTTAATTTCTTGCATTTGAGGCAATAATATTCCAATTATCCTAATTTGATAATTACACGTCATATACAAGTATAAAAATATCACATCACGTGTTTCCCCCAAAATATGCACACCTAATATTTATCAATACAAAAAAAACTACCAGACATGGAAAAAGGCACAAAATCACAACATTTAATGATGATAAACATCAATACAGCAAACTGATACTGAAAAAAATATTTCATTGAATTTGTAAATTAGGAAGACCAGCCTGACCAACATGGAGAAACTCTGTTTCCACTAAAAATACAAAATTAGCTGGGCATGGTGGCGTATTCCTATAATCCCAGCTACTCGGAAGGCTGAGGCAAGAGAATCACTTGAACCTGGGAGGCAGAGTTTGGGGTGAGCCGAGATCATGCCATTGCACTCCAGCCTGGGTGACAAGAGCAAAAATCCATCTCAGAAAAGAAAGAAAAGAATTTTCATCTTTATGATGTTGTGTATAACCATCAAGAACATACAGTCTTTCTATTTCTTCAAGTCTACTTTGTATCATTTGGAATGTGTTATAATTTCTTAGTTATGTAAATTTTGGATGTTTCTTGTTAAATTTATGCTTAATTATCTCATTTTTGAAATTATTATTCTTGCAAATGGGGCATTTCTTCCATTATATCTTCTTTCATGGTTTTAATATATGAATTTTTATAATTTTATAACTCCTTATTTTTCTAGATTATTTTGCTTATGTTAGCTACTGAATTGATACTTTCAGGTTTTTCTATATATACCATCATGTCATCTGCAAGTAGAAATAATTTTACCTCTTTCTTTCTAACTCTTATGTCCTTAACTACTTTCTTTTGGCTGTTTGCATTGGGTATTACATCTATACAATATTAAATAAAAGTAAATATATTGAACATCCTTATTTTCTTTGACTTCATTGGAAAAAATTCTAGTGTCTGTATATTAAATAAGATGTTGGCTTTGTGGTTGAAAAATGCATAAATACATGCACATACATATGACACACTGAATGACACAGTGTAGGCTTGAAAAAATAGAAAGGTTAAATATGTTCTTGCATGGTAATAATCAACATTATAAAGATGAAAATTCTTCCTAAATTAATTTACAATTTAACAAAAAATTTTTCTGGATCTGTTTGATTTATTGATTTTTATCCTCATTGAATGTTGAAATTTTGTACCTTTTTCCATGACCAGTAGTTTTCTTTGGTATTGATATATATTAATTGTGCACATATATACATATGTGCATACCTATATAAAATATGTATACCCACAAATTAACTCAGCATGTTAAAAACAATGATATATAATTGAACTGAATGACCTTTTAACATTAATGGATATTCATGTTAAACTCATATTTTACATTGATATATAACTATAAATTGCATTAATATATGTTGAATATTTTAATATGAGTGTGTATTGAATTTTTGTTAAATGCCTGTTCACATTTACAAATATGTCATATGATTTTTATCCTTGTCTCGGCTAATTTAATAGATTACATTAATGAATTTCCTTAGTTCAAATCATCTTTGCTTTCCTGGAGTGAACCCTTCTTTAATAGAATGTGGGATTTTTGATGCTTGCTATTTAAGATTTTCAAATTGATATTCACATGTGTGACTGGTTTATAGGTTTTTCTTCCTCAGGGAATGTGACTGTCTTCTTTACTAGGCTGGAAGCTCTTAAGGGTATGTTCAGCAGCAATTCTGTCATACAGGCTGAGTATCCAACAATTCAATTCAATTTTAACACCAACTATCTGGAGTCAGCACAGACCCCACAGGTTAAGGGTCTCAGTCCACCATAAGACTATCCTGACTTCAAATACTGGCTACAAGTCCTGGGCCTTTAGGCTACTTGTAATTCTGACCATATTCAAGGGATCCCATGACCTACCTTCGGTTTTGATGATTTTCTAGAATCACAGAACTCACAGATGTCACTGAAAGCACTGTATCATATAGCTAAATCGAAGATACAGTTAGGGCAAGATATTTGTTGAGGAGGTAAAGAGGATACACAGCTTCCATGTTTTCTGGAAGCATACCACTTTCCTAGAACATCAATGTTTTCACCAACCCAGAAGTTTCCTGAACTTTGTTGTTTTGGAGTTTTATCTGGATGTTTATTACATAGGCACGATTTGCTAAATCATTGGGCATGTGATTGAGATCAATCACCAGCCCCCTTCTCTTTTCTGGAGGCCAGAAAGTGGTGCTGAAAGTTCCAATGCTCTATTCCAGTGCTTGACATTATTTCTGGAGTGGCCAGCTTCTCCCTGGAAACTGTCTAACCCCACCATGTGTCAGCCTGTTAGCCTAGCTCAGGTATGGAACAAACAGGCTCATTATGAATACAGAAGGCACTTTTATCGCTCAGAAATTTCTAAGTGATTTAGAAGCTCTCTGCCAAGAAGTAGAAACAAAGACTAAATATATATATTTTTATTATACCACAGGGATCATACTGTGTATTTCTTTTTTTTTAGTGCCTAGCTAATATTGTGACTAGTACCAGTAATGGGTGCAAATAATTATATATTCAATGAGTGAATACAAGAGTGAATGAGCTATATAGTGTCAGCTAAGCTGTGGTTTATTTCAGGGAGGAAATTTGAACTTGCTCCACGTACATGATATTTGGGTATGTTAATTCATTGTATACCCTTTCAGAGCTTCCCAAAGCACAGGTTACTGCAATCCAGGGACTTGAAATCCTGATTTAAGAATTACCAATATGAGGATATTCATCAAAGTTTTCATTGTTACTTATCAAGTCCACAGTTATTTGAAAGCATGAATATTGCACTGATTAAAGTAAGAAGACATTAGGGATAGGTCCAAATATCAGATTTTCTTACTGCTTTCTTATTACACAAGTACAGATTAAGAGGGTTTTTAAAGTTCTATTTTATTTTATTTTATTTTATTATTTTTATTATTTTAGAGACAGAGGTATCAATATGTTGCCCAGGCTGGACTCCAACTCCTAGGCTCAAGCAATCTTCCAGCCTCAGCCTCCTGAGTAGCTGGGACTATAGGCATGCCACTGCACCCAGCAGACATTTAAGTGTTTTTAATTGTATTTTCTTTAAAAGTTTTAAAATCTAGATTATAGATTCTCTCTCTTTCTCTCCCTCTCTCTGTGTGTGTGCGTGTATATAAATACACATACATATGTGTGTATATATACGTGTGTGTGTGTGTGTGTGTGTGTGTGTATACATGGAAGATTATATATGCGTATACAATATGATCTCCCATGTATCCCAGTGTGAAAAGTTCTAGTTTTCAGATCAGTTTGAGAATAAAAAGAATTCAGTTTGATAGCCATAACTGATACTCAGTTAATCCTCCACATTTTTAATCTTCTGGATTTTGTAATTCTGTTGTGTTTTGTAGGAAAAGCAACTGTGTTATGTGAGAGATAAAACTTTTCAGCTTTCTCATGTTTTATTTTTTCAAGCCTGTTATAGAATTTTTCCATCTGGATGAGTAATGGAGAGGGATTTTTTTCTTCCGTTGCTATAATCCCTTATGTGAATTATTAATATATGTTTTTATTTATAATCCATTACCTTAAAAAAGAAAAAAAAGAGTCATGGCTGAGCAAGATCCAGCTGTACTTGGGCTCATCAAATGTCCCTAAGTGTTTTTCAGAGTTTCAGCATATTCCCAAACATGTTTCCATGAACATTTTCCCTTTATTTACAATCTCTTGTGTGTTTAAAGGAAATGTAAGCCTTATGTTTCTTTTTCATTTATACTTAACTCATCAAAATATTTTGTAAAGCAATTTAAATGTCCAAGAAGATTTTTATTACTGATTTTCTAAGAAACAGAAAGTCCTGTTTTGCCAACAAAACCAATGACTAAAGTTTGGGTCAGAACTTGAAATCAACAAGGTTTGAGTAGGTTCTAAACGTGGCAAATGTTTCTCTAAATCACAAATGAAGATTGTTAGGAAATCTTCATTTGCTAACTACAAAAAGGCAGTTTCATGAGCAAACTGATAATTACAAGGCTTACTGCTCAATTTCCTTTTGCTAGTATCTAGCTGTGGGCCAAACTATAGTTTTTCAGAAAGTATAAAATACACATACAAACCATGTGGGCATATTGTAGAATGCACCTATCAGCTAACATGAAATGAATAGTATTTAAATTCTAGTTTGTGAGGAAACATTAAGGAACTAAATTGTTCCATATCTTCATAGAATTTTTCATGCTAATTCAATAAATGAGTAAGATTGAGGCAACATAGAGATGCTTCACTTATTTAAAAGGTCAGAATGTTTCTCAAATCTTTCAGCAGATTTTACATAGGCAATCAATATAGCAACTCAGATTAGTCTTGGCTAGTCATTAAATCAAGCCAAGACTTTAATTTTGCAACAATATTAACAGGTGAAATGAGTATATTGGAGGGTAAAGCAGAAACACTTCCTGAGCTGTTTGAAAGTTTCAAAATACTGCTTTTTATGAAGTATAATTATCTTTCAGTTTCTTCAAATCAGTGAAATAATTTTTGACTTATTAAACAAGGCTCTTAAGCAAATAGTGAAGAAATTTATTATTTCATAAATTTGGGGGTTTAGGTTTGTGATAATGCTGGGAGTTACATTATCATTTTTAAAAGTTGTACATTTACATACCTGATTTCAAATACTGGTTCAACCATTTAA